GTATTGGATAGTTTAAATTTGTTCAATCTACATATTTGTATGTGTATATTTTATAATGTATTTATTTTTTATAAAAATGGGCTATAGATTTTCCTACTAGGCGTAAGTTACAATAGTAAGTTTATTTTTTATTTTCACCGTTATATATCTAGCACCTATAGGAGGGCCGAGTAGACGTTCAGTAATATTAGCAAAATGAAAGTCTTAAGAATACATATTAAGAGTATAATTTCATGCTTTCTGTTTTAAAAACATCAAAAATATATTTCATAACATTCAAATAACTTCACTATGATATGTGGACATCCAGACAAATTTATGCACGCGCGCACACACACACACACACACACGCACGCATGCACATGAACAATTTTAAATAAAGAAAAAAAATTAGTGTCATATATCCTTAAGTAAATATGTAATTAGTCGAGGCTTCAATCAAAATTCCAATGCAATTCTTTCAGGAATTGACCACATTTTTGTAAAGCTCAAGGGGAATTTTCTAGCTCAAGATCACTCTTTAAATTCATTTACCTTTCCTTTCATCTTAGATCTCATTAAAATAATATAATAACAATTTAAAGAATAAGCATAAAAACATAGAAACATTGGAAGGATAAGAATAAACTAGAAGAAGAATGGAATACTGAAGAATTTCAGATAAATATGAATTGCATAAATTAATAATGAAACTCATTAGAACTGAGGAATTAATTCTATATAGGCAAAAAGGCAGACATCTAAAACAACTAAAATATTCCAAAATAACTTTGGAATCACAAGATCAAGTATCAGAGAAGGACTGAGTGATTTGTCAAAGATGAGATTAGACCAACCATTGCCTAACAATCTGAGATAATGACTTAGGTAATGTTCAGCAGGTAACTAGAATAGTATGGTGGTGGTTAAAAGCACTGACTTGGGAGTCAAATTATCGGATTAAGTACTACATCTTCCACTTGTTATCTGTGTAAACTTGAGCAAATTGTATGATATAGCAAATTTTAATGTATCCATTGGTATATAAGGGATAATAATTGTTCATATGGAATTGTGAATATTAAAAATATTAATAAATGGGAAGTACTTAGAATGATACCTGAATATATTAAGTGCAGTATTAGTGTTTGTTCTTGTTTTTATTTTAATGGGATTTGAGTTTAAACTACAATCATGGCTCTCTGCAGCAAGAATTTTAACATAAGATACACCTAGATGGATCACTTGGGAAAGAAAACACAATAGAATAACAAGTAATTTAGGACTGCCAAGAGGGAAAGGATCTCAATCACCCAGAATTTAAAAAAACACCTGCATGCCTTGCCCCAGTTGCACGATGTGCACCCTAATTATTAGGAACAAGGTTTCTGCAGCAAACACTTGAACTTCACTAAATGGTGAATAAAAATTCCTCCTCATTCAAATTCTCATCCACACATTTTAGGGATAAATATTATTCTGCTTATATGACAAAGTATATTTGTAATAAACAAAAATAAGCATTTTACTCTGCCTAGCACAAAAAAAACTGAAATAGCAAACATGGTAAAGAGAAAATTAACCCATCCAAATAAATAAAAATAAAACAGAATTATCTTAATAAATTATTGTGAAAAAAACCCACCAAATACTATTTTTAGAAAAAAGTCAATAGCAAATTTGACCCAATCAATGTTAAAATACATGAGATAAAGAAATATCTTAATTATTTTTTATAATCACCAGAGAAAAAAGAAACAGAAAATGGCTAGTTCAAGAATTCCAACTATTCTTTAATATAAACACAAAATAATATAATTGAGAGAATGGGCAGAGAAAATCATCAGTCTAACAGAAGGACATTTTCCATAATAAAATCTCCAGTCTTTGGAAAAAAGTTATTGTTTGACATTCAGGATTAATGAAATAAAAAAATTCTCCAAGAAGTCATATCCTAGTAATAGCAAAACTAAGAATTTGAAAAAACAAACATCAAAAGCTTTTTCAGGAAAGGGGCGTATTTACTCTCTAAAGGCAATGGTCAGTAAACTACAACTACAGACAACAGGCTGTATATTTGTGTAAATAAAATTTCACTAGGACACAGACACACCCATGAATTTGCTTACTGTCTATGGCTATTTTTGCATGGCAAAGGCAGAATTGACAACTTGTAACAGGGTCCATTCAACCACCCCCTAAAAATTCAAACATAGCGGATTTGCTACCTGGCTCTGAAGGAAAGTTTACCCACAGGGCTCTGAGGAAAGATAAATTAGGTGAAAGAAGATAATGAAGGAAGGTAATGAATGAAAGGAAGGCCTTTCAAGTTCTACAGAAGGCTTTGAAACTAGGGCTAAATAAACACAACATAAGTTGGAGATACATAAAGAAAAATTGACAAAGCCACAGTAAATTTGAGTGATACTAATAGATAACTCCCTGAAACTAAAGGAAAGCAGGGAAAATAGGTCAGTCTTCTCTATTAGATTCACTTCTGACACATGCCTTTGGTACGATGGTCTCTGATTACTCCTTGCAAACTACTGATATTTTGAGAATGAAATATTGTGAAGGACTTCAGCCATCTGATCCAAGTCTATTAATTCACTCTCCTTTTTTCTTAATCCCTATTTCTGGGGGCATCTGAATTTTTCTTTTGTCTCTACTGTTATGTTTGGCAAACTTCGCCAAATGACTGGATTTCTATGAGTGTCTCATGATTATTTTACCACTACATATATATAATCTATTCTGCTCGCCCAGGAACAGATTTCCTTTGTTTCTTAAATATTATTTGGACACAAGTGGGTTGGAAATACCTATAATATTCTAAGAAATCACCCTTAGTTTGTTCTTGAGAAAATAATATTATTCTGTTTCAATTTTCTGGGTCTCTGCTCTTTTTCCTTGCCGTCCCTTCTCTACTCAGCCTTGTCCCTCAATGACACTCAGCACACTAAGAGGCAGATGTCCCCACATATTGTGATCTCGTCAGTCATCTCTGGGTGCCAATCTTAACAGAAGTATATGGGGGAAAGGCAGGGAGGCACCATGCATTTACTGATTAACTATGCTTTTTTAATAAAAACCTAACCCTTGGAAAGCTTAACTTATATCATTAAAAATCAATTAAATGAACTTTCGAGTTGTAAAATTTAATTTTCTCTTACTATGTAGCGTTTCTGAAATTTTGTTTAAAAAAAATCCTATATAAAAATTGAGTCTATTAGATTGAAAGCTGGCTTCGAGACTATAAAGAAAACATAATAATAAATTTAAAGTTTTAAGTTATAGGTCTAGCAAATCTGTGGTCTGTTTTTCCTTGGCCTCTTCATTAATATTGTACTGTATGAAATTTGAAGTGCTTTATCACATACCATAGGCAACATTGAAATAGGAGGTGTTTCAAGCAGTGTAAATGAGAGGAAAATAGTTAGAGAACATTAAGTGTAAGAAAAAATGGCTAAATTGTTTCTAACTTATCAAATGGAGTAAAGGACCATTAACTATTGTTTTGAAAAGGTAATAAAAGTAAGCTCCACTGAAAACCTTGGGTTTACCCATGGCTTGCAGATATGTGATGTATGAGATTTATTATAATTAGAGCAATAAGGTTATTTTCTTATAATATGGAATACATGCTGGATCTTATCTATTATATGGCTTATCCTATCTATTTCTTATAACCCCAGGTAAAACCTTTTTTAATCTCTATTTTTCCAATAAGTTCAAACAACTAGATAAAGATAAAACCAGAAACTGAATTTTAATGGTCTGAATCCAGAGCCCACCTTTTTAACCAGTATTTATATACCTACTATTAGCTCATATTATATGCATCACAGTTAATCCTTCTATGAAGGTAAACAAGTTTCACACCTAATTTGCTGCAATAAGTTATAGGTGTTGTTATGGACTGAAACTTTTTGTCTCCCTAAAACGCATACATGAAATTCCAGCTCCATTTTGATGAAATTAGGAGGTGAAACTTTTTACCAATAATTAGTTCATGAGGATGGATCCCTTATGAACAGGATTATAAAAGGGACCCCAAGTGCCAGGCATGGTAGCTTGTGCCTATAATCTCAGCTCCTTGGGAGCTTAAGGTGGGAGGATCCCTTAAGCCCAGGAATTCTAGGCTGGGAAGGCAAGGCGAGTCTGTCTCAAAAAAAGAAAAAAAAGAAAGGCTCTAGAGAGTTTTCAACCTCTCTTCTCCTCTTTTTATTATGTAAGAACTTGTAACAAGACTCCCAGGTCAGTCTGCACCTGGGAGGCCCTCACCAGAACTTGGCCAAGCTGTATACTGATCTTGGACTTTGCGTCTCCAGAACTGTGAGAAATATTAAGTTGGTACAAACATAATTGTGGTTTTTGCATCAACCTAATAAAAGAATGCAACTACTTAATATAATTCTGTTGTTTATAAGCCACTCAGTCTATGGCCCAAACTGACTAAAACAGGTGTACAAGATGTTGAACATTCAAGATAACTTGAAGGGTTTCCAGTTGTCAGACTTCCTGGAAATGCATTCTGTCAATGAGAAGTACCCCATGGGTAGCAGAGCACAGCACAGGCAGATGAACACTCCATGATCTTTACAAACAGTGAGCAGCATAGGTACTTGCTGATATTCATTAATATTCTGGGCTTGGCCAGGGAAATGCTCTATTACCTAGATAGCTACTTCAACAATTGTAATTGATGCAGAATTCACTACTGCCCATTACTCACAAGGAACTGGTGATGCCGCTGAAGGGGTTTGGGTTTCAGAGCTCTGTGGAGCATAACAAGCAGGCCAACTGTCTCATGACACACATGGCTATGAGTGGAACTTCCAAGTTTCTATCTTTAAATATTGTTGTGGACTGAAAATCGTGGAAGTCCCTCCCTCTTCTTGATTCTGGGTGAATTTTTGTAACTGTTTCATCAATAGAATAAAACAGAAGTGATGCCTAGTTTCTAAGCCCAGGTAATAAAAAACTAGCAGCTTATATGTTCCTGTCTCTTGGAATACTAGCTCTTGGAACCCAGTCATCATTCTGAGAGAAGCCACAGGATCTCTATGAAGTTGCCTACATGAATATAAACTAAGGCCCCGGGCTGACAGCACCTGGACGAGCTTCCAGCCGGCATCCAACATCAAGGTGTCAGCATGTAAATGGTCTTTCTTGAAAATAGATCCTTTAGCTGCACTCAGGCTATTGAAACTGATACCACTGGAGTGGGGGTTGGGGGGAAATAAGCCATTCTTGCTGAACCCTACCCAAATTGCAAGTTTGTGAGAAAACTAAATTAATATTATTGTTTTATGTTGAAAAATTTAAGGGTGGTTTGTTATGTAGCAATAGATAACTGGAACTAATAGTGCTGTTTAAACTTGCTCCATAGCTAATTGCTCAGAAAGTATACAAAACTTTGCAAATAAAGGCTTCATCTTACTGTAAAATCAATTATATAAAAAATTCAGTTATATTTAAAATACATTCACAATAAAGGCTTCATCTTACTGTGAAATCATTTATATGAAAAATTCAGTTATGTTTAAAATACAGTAACATTATACCAATACATTGAATATTATATTCATTAATAAAAGAAGAGTTATTCAACTCTAAATACAATTCAGTTGAACAATTTTGCATTGTTCTAAAATCATATATGTGTGTGTGTGTGTGTGTTTATATTTTGAGATGCAGTCTCACTGTCACCAGGCTGGCATTCAGTGTCCTGGTTTTGGCTCAGTGCAACCTCCACAACCCAGGTTCAAGTGATTCTCATGCCTTAGCCTCCAGAGTAGCTGGGATGACAGGCACATACCACCATGCCCAGCTAATTTTTATATTTTTAGTAGAGACAGGGTTTCACCATGTTGGCCAGGATGGTCTCAATCTCTTTGACCTCATGATCCCCCGGCCTAAATCTCCCTAAGGGCTGCGATTACAGGTGTGAGCCACCACACCTGACCAATGCTTTATATTTCTTTATGCACTTGTGCAAAGTTACATATTCATGACAACTAACTATTTGGAAAGATTATGAAAGTTTAAGCAAACTTATGAAACTATTTGGAAGTATTATACAAACTAATACAATATTTTGCCCAACTTGATTTGTATTTTTCTAATAAATATGTAATATAAAGATTATATTTTGCCAAGCTCCACATAAATACTCACACATTGCCTCTTATTTAATCTCACGTGCCATACATAAAAAAGTTTAAAAATCTCTAAAGTAAATAATGTTTTTCTCATTTTAAAGTTTAGAAAACACACACAGAAAATTTAAGTGCATTGCTTCAAATCACACAAACGGTAGGTTGTAAAAAGAGTTTGAACATAACCAGTCTGTTTAAATTTCAAGCCTATGTTCTTTCTAGTACATTTTCCTTTTCTGAATAATTTGGCTTTGAGAAGATCTTTTGACCTTTATGTTACAGTAATATTTAATATGAGTATACAACTGATTTTGAGACACTCATGTATCAAAATTAAAAATGATAATACATTTTATCTTGTTGAGCCTAGATTTAGTCAGTATCTTTGTAGATTTAACAATATCCTGTTCCAGACTGACCTGATACTCATTAGGCAGAGGAGGATTTGCCTCTACTTTAGTTTTGATCAAAGCCAGTCACAAACACATTCAACCCAGGGATGTAAGGTAAATCCACAAGGTAATGCCTTCGAGTTTACACTATTAAACCCTGGATCAGAAAAGCTTCTGTGTGAGCTTTGTTAACTTTAACAAATAGCATTTATTCTGAGTATGCAAAAGAAAAAAAAAGCCCTTCATGCGTATAATTCTGTTACATTCTCTACTTGCAAATTCATTATAAAAGATACTCCTGCATAACAACACAAAAATCATAGTTTATATTTTCTTGTTCTCAAAAGTATCAGCTAATTATGAGTCAGTGTAATACCTATATTAATTAAAATAAAGTTTTCATTTTCAAACATCTAATCACTTTTACAGTTTTGAAAGTGTGATATTTTTCTAGATTTATTCCCCTTCATCACTCCAATTTAGGATTACTGTTTGTTGGTAATGGTGGTAGTGTTCATGATTCATGATGACAGTTGCAGTGTGGCTGTGTATTTGTGGGTCTTTGTGTGTGTGTGTGTGTTTCTGCCTTCCAATTTAATTTACCTGTCATTTTGTTGTATCTATATTTTCTCTAAATTACAAATAAGATCTTAGAAAATAATAAGCAACAATACATATTGATGAATGATTTGCAGAAAAGCAGGGTGAAGGGTGGGGAATGTATTATGGATTAAGCCCAGAGGTTTAGATAGCTCAGCAGGAACTCATTATCAAAGTCATTACCTCTACAAGGACTGCTCTTGAGAAGAGCCAAAATCAGAGCATCTTTTGCCATCAGGTAAAAGATGAATGGTCGAGGCCTTTACTCCTCTCATTCTGACCTAACAAATCTTTTTATAAGACCAAAAAATGATGAACCTAACTTATGAAAATCCATTCTTATTGGCTCTCTCTTCTGAGGTAAAATTCTGATTACCTTCAAATATTATCATTACATAGAAATCTCCCCACCATTATCTGAGAGAGGTAAAGAGGTTTTGCACTGAGGAAACAAACAAGCAAACAAAAAAACTGTCATCATTTTTTTAAAAAAAGTATGTATTGAACTATAGTCAGGTTCAATGAGGAAATGCATTACATTGTCACTAAACTGGCCTTAGTTGGAGAAAGAATGCTGGCAGGTTAATTAAAGTTATTAGGGCTTATGGTAGGAAAATGCATGATATGTGTAAAAGATCTTTTAGGGATTGAAAACATAATATAAACTCAAACTACTCCCAAAACTTTAACAAGGCTGGATGAAATAAAAGTGATTTTATGACTTTTACAATTGACAATGGTGTCAAGCACGCTGTGAATAAATAAAACCTTTGGATGAAGTAAAGTAACTGTTGGACAAAGTATAATTGGTTACAGGTAAAGAAATACATCAACCAGGCAGATATGATAGTTTACAGGAAAATATAATGTTATGATGTAAAACATGCAAACCACAGACATTTTGCCCAGGCAATAATTAGCCTAAAATTGGGCTACTAAGGAGCTGGCTAAGCAGCAATGGTAATACCAGATACTGGAAGAATCTGGAGGTTCTGTGATCACAAACGAATTCAACTAGTGAATAATTCACAATATTTCTAAAGATGGACACCAAGAAAGTTGTTTGAGGAAGAAAAATATGTTGTTTGGTTATTCATCATGGAAGCCAGGAACAAATAGATCTGAAATGTGTGATAATGATGATCAGGCAGAATATCTAGACTATTATGGTAGGTGCCAAGATTTGCATCTAAGACATTATCAACATAGAAACTGAGGCATCAATTATTGGATTTATTCAAAAAAGCATTATATAAATGATACACATAATGTATTAACAGTCCAAAAATGAAATAAACATTTATGAATAGACTATACAGATTTAAAATAAAATATTACCTGTTCATTGAATGCTTTCTGGATTTTACTTTCTAATTTTACACCTATCTTTCTTTTTTATGAAAACTACTATCCTATATATTTGTTTTGCACTGCATATAAATAAAATTATATAATACGTATTTTATTAACTTTCTAATAAAAATATTTTGTGAAACACTGTACGGAGATTAATCCCTGATGAAATGTGCAACTGTATTTTTTTTTTTTTTTTTTTTTTTTTTTTGAGACGGAGTTTCGCTCTTGTTACCCAGGCTGGAGTGCAATGGCGCGATCTCGGCTCACCGCAATCTCCGCCTCCTGGGTTCAGGCAATTCTCCTGCCTCAGCCTCCCGAGCAGCTGGGATTACAGGCACGCGCCACCATGCCCAGCTAATTTTTTGTAATTTTAGTAGAGACGGGGTTTCACCATGTTGACCAAGATGGTCTCGATCTGTTGACCTCGTGATCCACCCGCCTCGGCCTCCCAAAGTGCTGGGATTACAGGCTTGAGCCACCGCGCCCGGCCGCAACCGTATTTTATTCATTTTGACTGCTTTGCATTTGGTTCAGTCCACATACAATGTACCCATCTGTTTTACTGGCAATGATACTTTTTCTAGATTTTCAAAATGACAAAGTAGCAATGAACATTGCAACTTCTAAATTTTTGGACCTGTCTCCTGGTTCACATGTGTTAAGAGTTTCTTCAGAGTGTGTACCTTAAAATGGAATTATTGGATCATTTTATCTTCTCATGTAAAACTTTATTACAAATTGTCAAAAGATTTTCAAAAATAATAGTGCCAAGTTTCATTTAAAAAGTCCCATGTGAAAAGACCTAATGCATGTACATACAGCATTTGGTGTTGTCAAATCTTTTAATTTTTACTGTTCTAGAAATATTCCTTCTTCTTATTGTATATTTCTTTGTTTATTAAATGATATTTGTTATCCTTTTATAGGGCTTTTTGGCCATTATACAAAATTGACTGCTTATATATTTTACCTATTTTCTTTTCTTTTTCAACCTCTGACTCCTGGGTTAAAGTGATTCTTCTGCCTCAGCCTCCTGAGTAGCTAGGATTACAGACGCCTGCCACTACACCAGGCTAATTTTTGTATTTTTAGCAGAGATGGGGTTTCACCATCTTGGCCATACAAGTCTTGAACTCCTGACCTCGTGATTTATCCACCTCGGCCTCCCAATGTGCTAGGATCACATGCTTGAGCAACCACACCGGCCAATTATTTTGTTCATTTCTCTATAGTAATGACAATATTGTATTATTGATCTGTAGCACTTATTTGTTCATTTAACAATGTTGATCCATCGTTCAATGGGTTGTGGTTTGTCACAGTCTGTGGCTTGATATATTACACCTTCAGTGTCTTTAGTGCTTAGTGTCTTCAAATGTACAAATTTCTTTGTGTCTTTTTGAGGAAGTACTGTCTACTTCAAAGTCAGAAATAATTTCCTTGATTGGTTTATAAAAGTTATGTCATTGTTTTTAATATGTAAGTCTTCATTCTACCTTAATTTGATTTTTTTAAAATGATGTGACATAGAATCAAATTTGATTTCTATATGGATAATCAGATGTATCAGCACTACCTATTGAATCAGTCATTGTTTTCCTCTGATCGCTAAAGTCTACCAGTAGGAGTAAAATTCTGTATATGCATGAGTAAGTTTCTTTGTTCTCTACTTAGCTCCATTGATCTAATTGTTTATTCAAGTACAAAGGCTAAAATTACTATGACATTGTTGTAAGTATTAATATCAAATATTGTAATTCCTCTTCTTCCTTTTTTTTTTTTTTTTTGAGACAGATACTTCCTCTGTCACCCAGGATGAAGTGCAGTAGTGCAGCCTTGGCTCACTTCAACTTCTGCCACCAGGTTCAAGCGATTCTCCTGCCTCAGCCTCCCAAGTAGCTGGGGTTACAGACATGCATCACCATGCCTGGTTAATTTTTGTATTTTTAGAAAAGATGAGGTTTTACCATTTTAGCCAGGCTTGAACTCCTGACCTTAAGGGATCCACCTGCCTCAGCTTCTAGTGGCCACTTCTTGTGCAAACCTCTTCTCTTGCAATTAATATTGAAATTACTCATTTATTCACATTTTTTCCAAATGCAATGTGAAAATATTAAGGACAAGAATCCTATCTTATATTTTAATTTTTTATTATGATTACCTAGAATACTGCCTCATCTATGATGCATTTATTAATTGGAAAGATGCCTAAAAAGGTATCCACAGCAACTATCATAATTAGAATGTCTACTTTTATCTGTGAAGCTTGGGATGATATTTATGTCTATTTATGGCAAAATGTTATTCCCTAATGAAAAGGAACCTGTATATATTCAGTTCACCAGAGGCAGAAGGCAGCTCTGTTAGCTAACATATTAAAAGACATCCAATAATAGAAATCACTCACAGAAACTTAATACCAAGTTGACGGATAAGACAAAGTGACTCCATCTGAAGAACCACCATGATGATGAAGACTAATGAGAGACAGTTTGAGCAGTCAGAAATTAAGCTTAAGTAAACAAAAAGAAAAATTATATCTATGTTATAGTTGCCAGATTGAACAACTAAAATAAAATACAGAATACCCAGTTAAATTTGAATTTCAGACATGCAATGAATAATTTTTTTTTTTCTTTTGGGACAGTCTTGCTCTTTCACTCAGACTGGTGTACAGTGGCTCGATCTCAGCTCACTGCAACCTCCGCCTCCCAGGTTTAAGAAATTCTTGTGCCTTAGCCTCCCAGGTAGCTGGGATTACAGGCGTGCACCAGCATGCCCAGCTACTTTTTGTATTTTTAGTAGAGACGGGGTTTCACCATGTTGGCCAGGCTGCTCTCAAACTCCTGATCTCAAGTGATCCACTAGTCTCAGCTTCCCCAAGAGCCAGGATTACAGAACAATGATTAAATTTTTAGTAAAGCCATGGCCTATATATCATTTGTAACACACAAAAAAAGTTATTTTTTAAATTTGTAATTTGAATTTAACTGGGCTTTCAGGATTTCATCTGGCAATCCTAATCAGTATACTGGATCAGATTTAAATGATAATTAGGACCCAAGGAGGGCCTTTGAGATGCACTTGAAGTCTGGTTGTCAGCTACTCATTAAGATCTAACTAAAGTGTGACAAGAACCTCCCTTTCACTGTTATATTAATAATAAAAAAGAAAGACAAAAAAACCCCACCACAACTGTTGCTGAGACTCTCAACAAAACATCCAGAAGTTTCATGGGCTCTTTCATCTTGGACTTCCTACCCCTTTGGAACTCTTGTTCTCTGCATTTTGTCTGATAACTATTCTTTCATTTTTTTCCTAAATGAAGTTAAATTTTTTAAAATCATTAATAGCCATACATTTTTATCTGCATTGTTTATTTTCTGGTTGATTGGGTTGAAGGATGCAAAGTGTTGTGTCTGGATGTGTCTGTGAGGGTGTTGCCAAAGGAGATGAACATTTGAGTTAGTGGACTGGGAGATACAGACCCGCCCTCCATCTAGGTGGGTACGATCCAATCAGCTGCCACCATGGTTAGGAGATAAACCGGCACAGACACATGAAAGGACTAGACTGTCTGAGACTTTGTCTGTGCTGAATGTTTCTAGACATTGAACATCGGACTCCAAGTTCTTCAACTTTATACTGTTGGAGTTTCACCAGTGGTTTCCCAGGGGCACTGGAACCTCCAGCCAGCAGCAGACTGAAGCCTGCACTGTTGGCTTTCCTACTTTTGAGGTTTTGGGACTCAGACTGGCTTCCTTGCTCCACAGCTTGCAGACAGCCTACTGTGGGACTTCACCTTGTGATCCTGTGAGTCAATACTTCTTAATAAACTCCCCTCTTTATATACATCTATCCTTTTAATCCTGTTCCTTTATAAAGCCCTGACTAATATCATGCTTAGGGAAACAGAAGAGGTTTTAGTTTTTTAACTTTTCACATCACTGTAGAATAAACTTAAGTCCTTGTTTCAAACACACTTTGGTTATTTCATTTTCTTGCTGGACCTTCTCTTACTCTCTATTTCAAGTGACCATTTTCAGGGCCGGAGGAAAAAAAACCTTCCTTTTGTATGCAAAGGTATTTAGGGTTTTTCCATGTCCCATGTCTGGAAATATAGCAAGGGATTATCTTTTGCAATTGCAAAAACTCAGTATTGATATTAATGTTATTGTTTATAAGGACCTACTTAAACTCTTAGACAAAGAGCCTTCTTTCTACACAGTCTAGTTTGCACGGAGCTTGTAGTTTGCTTCCTCTAACAGAACCACGGGAATTTTGATAAGGCCAATAAATATTTTCTCTAAGCAGTGCCACCATTTTGTACTAACAAGTAGAACTCTTACCCTGGCCCTATGTTTTGGAACGCTTTCCTTGAAAAATAGCAAGCTTTCCTCTAGTGTCCCATATCATGAGGATATGATCTACCAGCTCTGCTAATGTCACCTAAGTGCTGACCTATGTGAGACCTGTTCTTCTTTTTCCCTTTAAGTTAATTTCCAAAACTCCCTCTCTTCCCCAAGAAGGATTAACTAGAGGCTTTGAAAATTTCCATGCCTTACACCTATGAGATTTTGCAGGGATTAGTCAGCGGTTATGCCCAATTTAGGATGTCAGCTGAGCAAGGAATTGCTGCTGCTGCTTTCTCCTTCTCCCCTAAAGTATTTTCCTGGAGTCTATAGATGTCTTAGAAGCAACTCTGCCATCAAGTTTTAGATTAAAAAAAAGTATAAAAGTTTTGAAGATTTCAAATATTCTGACAAAATGTTAATACTCAATTGTATGTGACACTATTTTGAGGATTAATCAGATGTTAGAAGAATCCGGAGTGTCTAATTAGACTTCTACTGTGTTTTAATGGATGCCAGATTTTTGGAACAAGATAGAAATTCAAACTGCGTTCACTCTTCTACACACTTTGAATATAAGAGAAAAAATAAACAGGTAAGGCCTAAGAAGGGAGTAATAAACCATTACTATCTGTGAGCTGCACATATCAAAAATATTTTTGAAGAATTTCGAAGGAAAGACAGATACTGTAATGCATTCTTCGGAATGCTGAGGATATGGAATGCATAGCTTTTAGCCAAGTGGACTTTCCAGCCTTGACCCACCCATAACAAGTCTCTGACATTACGATATTCAGAAGAGGAAGTAAAGACTAGGTCCAGGGGCCCCATCATTCATAAACTTTTTTTTCCTACATACATGCGTACATCCACATTCTACCAACAACACTCACAAAAACAGCTACAAAGGTTGCACAATTCTGGGCCATAGAAAATGTGCAGAGAGTTCCTAAGACACATTGATGCTTCATGTCTTCTAATCCAAATGACATAATGAGAGCTTTAGGTTAAGTCAAGATGTAAGATCCATCAAGAACTGACTTTGGAAGTCAATTTTAATGCCCACTGAAACAATAAAAAGCTGTACAGATACAGTATCTCTTATCCAAAATGCTTTGGGACCAGAAGTGTCTCAAACTTTGAACATTTTTTGCGGGGGTTAGAATATTTGCATATACATAATAAAATATCTTGGGGATGGAAACCAAGTCTAAAAACAAAATGTATGTTTTTCATATACTTTAAACATACAGCCTAAAGGTAATTTTATATAATATCTTAAATAATTTTGTGCATAAAACAAACTTATGACTACAGCATATCACATGAGGTCAAGTGTGGGGCCTTCCACTTGTGGCATAATGTTAGCCTTCAAAATGTTTTAGATTTTCGAGCATTTCACATTTTAAAATTTTTAGATTAGGGATGCTTAACCCATATGTATTATTTACTTTTCCATTCAAATTTAAGTATCCAAGGGGTTTGATTTCATCTGTCATATGGCAAAATTAACATTAAAATTATCTCATACCTAAAACAGCATTCTTTTCAAAGGTTGTTTCTTTTGTGTGTTACATTCTAGGAACTAAGCATGTAATTATAATAAATCCAAAACAAGTGAAACAGTTTCACACAGATAATTATAATTGCTTAACTGTAATAATGCTTACCAATTTTATAGATGAGGAAGCTAAAACTCAAAGAGCTTATCTTTAGTAAGTCACAAAGGTTGAATTAGAATCTAGTTCTTTAGCCTTCTAATTTAGTATATTTGGTATATTTCCTACAAGTCTTTCTGCAGTGTTATAAAATAGAAAGTGACTAAGTTGTTTCTGCTTGTGATTTCATAATATAGTGTTTAATCTGTCATTTTCACTAGAGGACAAAGGTTTTTGTGCCTTTCTTATTCCACATTATGATTTTTTCCATGCTGCAAGAAACTATCAGACATTTCCTGATAAAATCATTAATTTTTCTTATTATAATAATCTCCAATAAGTTTTTACTTTACAACATGTTATGTAGCAAAATAGTTCGTAAGGTTTCTACAAGCATATATATTAGGAAATAGATATTTGATCACAGAAGAAGTCTCATGTGTGAACTAAAAAGAGAAATCTAACAATAAATCAAAAGTTCATTGTTATATATTTTTTATCATTTTAAAATATTTGATGTGAATCTGTGTGTCCCAGTTCATTTAAAGGAAAGAGTTTATGTCCTATGCTTCCTTACTCTTTACAAATCATTAGAGATGCTGTTATATACATAATTGATAAATGAGATTTATAGATATATGTGAAACATAAGGTGACCTGTGGTCCAGATACCAGCCACACACAGAAGGCAGGAGCTCTCTATTTTAAATGCATTCGGTTACATGGCATTTGCTACTTTCTGATTTCTTTTGTTTTAGTCTCCCTCAACCGGTGCTAAGAATTTATTCATAGGGTCCAGAGTTTTCTGTTAGGATGCACTATCCCTTGGGAACATGTGACTTTATATCCATACAATTTTTTTGGATAGTGTATTATTTCACTGCCTTCAGAAGAACAACATTTGGTAAAATGATTTAGAGAAACTGAAATGATTATGTCTAAAAATTCAATATGTGGTCTAGAGTTGTAGATTGAGTAAAAAACAGTGAGGAGAGAATACATGTCACTTAATTTTATCTATATTAATTTCTTAACTCCCTTGCTTCACCCATTGGTTCTCTCTGGCTTTTGTTCTGGCTTCTTTTGTGAAATTCACAAAAGGAACATCAGCATCATCTATACTGTGATATGGTGACTACAGGTGGCAAGATACAGGATTCTTGGAATTGCTGAGAGAGTGGATGTAAAGGAGGAGTCTCACCATAAAAATGACAAGTTTATGATGTAGTGCATATGTGAATTAGCTAGATGTATTCATCCATTAGCACATTTATTTCAAAACAATATGTTGTACATGGTAAACACATAAACTTTTATCTGTCAATTAAAAAATGAAAATAAGTAAATAAAATGCCTAAAGCTCACTTAGATGGCTTGAGTAAAAGTGCCTTTCAGTTGTTGAATTCACTGATGGTTTTTATTTTCTCAAGCTGAATAGCAGGCCACCTACTAATGGAAACCAATTTGCTTATTAGCTTGGAAGTCATACTAAATTTGGAATTTCATTGAATCTTTTTTGTGAATGACCAAAGCTGCTTTTGTGGCACACGTGAAACTGGGTCAGGGCTGAATACTACATTCTTCTATGTATCCTTTTGCAAGTAGTTTGATGTTTTCTCTCTCTCTCTCTTCCTTTCTTTCGGTGTCTTTTTATGTGATCTCAAACCATTTCCTTTTAATTTACAATTTTATATTTGACCATCTAAGAATGAATCATGGATGTATGTTGCATATATTCCTGTTTCACAGACATTCATTAATGACTCTTTAATAGCAAAATATGGACAGAATGTGCGTCATAAAGTATTCTTTTACAAGCATCTGTATACTATCTGTATACTATCAATGACGCATTTGTTGCCAGTTTGATGCAGAGTTAAGCTGAAATGACTTGGACTGATGAGGTTCCCCACAGTTAAAATGTTCAGTAACTACTTTTCAGAAGAAAGAATATTAGTCACACTTTTTTCTGACCAACTCTAAGAGTCTAGAGTTTTTTAAATTTTCAAATGAAAGTTGAAATTTAATCTGGACCTAGAGGGAATCTGTTCATGCTCGTCCTCTTGCAACCCTTAAACTGCCTCCTCTGTTGCCACTGACAACTTAATGAAGAGAAAGGTCTTTTTAAAGGTAAAAATGCTGAAATTTATTATAACTCTTTCTCTGCAATATTAAATGACAGCATTAGAATATTTCGTTTATACATGCCATTTTTCTTTTCTGGAGCCTAAATGTGTTGCTTCATTACAATCTCTCCCATCCATTACTATACAAGCATTGTAAAGTAGATGAGCAAATAAATATTACTCTCTTCAACATCTAGGGTAAAATAAGCACTTTCTTTAAGTGACTTGTCAGAACCACAGTCACTTAGTTGTCAAGTCTGTATTGAAAAATAACATGATTTCCATTTCTGTGGTTGTCAATTAAACTGTGTAACCTAGTAATTGAAGCATCAGTTTGTATAGAAACTTGTTAAAGGGTCTAATGAGACTTGGCAAAGAACTTCTTACTCTCCATAATATCCATGTTAGGAGAATTGGATCTATTAGCAAGGCACATTATTATGAAATTTATCTCTTATCATGCTTATTTTGCTACAGTGTCCATGCTGTTTACAAATCTAGAGCAGCTTGTAATGATTCTGGCCTCTTAAGGAAACTATATACTGGTGCTTTCTTTTTTTTTTTTTTTTTTTTTACAGTATCTCATGGCATACCATTTTATTCTTCATGATCACACATCACTCACACCATAGTGTTTAGTGCTATTAATTGTTTGCTTGTCTATTCAAATTTGAAGTTCTGATCTAATATCTAGCACCCTATTCCCAGTAGTTAGCCTGGATCACAGATGCTGCTCACTAAGTGTACTGATGAACAAATAAAAATAACCCAACCTGAGAGTAGACTGTAAGCTTTACGTAGGTGAGAACAGAGTCTGGCTTTTTCCCCTCAGACTATTACTCAA